AGACGGGTGCGAACGATCCACTGTGGGTGGGGTTGTTGAATGTGGTGGGGAACTGCGCCGATTGGGAGCTGGAAGATCTAATCTGGGTAGGGCTGTCGGGCGTGGGGAATGCGAGAGTGAAGGTTCCACTTGTGTGGCTCGGATTGCTGAAAGTGGGGAGTACGAGGGTGCCAGCCGGCGAGGTTGAAACTCCAGTGGGATCGAAATTCTTGGATGCGAGTACTGTGTGGAACGTGGGGACTCCGATAGGGAGTGCGAGAGATGGGGGGAACGAGCTGGTAGTGTTGGAGGATCCTATTGGACTTGAACTGGGGTTGCTGAAGATGGGGAGTGAGAAAGATGCCGCGGCAGTGACACTGCCGGATCCCGGGCCTGTTGGGACGTTGTTGAAGGTGGGGAACGCGACGTTGTTGGATCTCGTCCAGGAAGGTGTCCCATTGAACGAGGGGAACGTGAAGCTGGATGTCGCGGCAGAGACTCGGAGTGTCATGGAGGAGGAAGTGGGGCCAGGGCTTTCAGGTGAGACACCCTCTGAGGGCTCTGCCATGAGGGATGCTGGGAGAAGGCTCAGCTCGACAAGAGGATCACCTGTATAAGTGTCGGGCAATTATAGAAGGAATAGATCTAGAATAGAAAAACCAGGATCAAGAAGAAGGAAGATCGGCAGCCAATGGCTTCGACGACGAAATTTTCCTCGCTTGTCAAGTCTTCACTCTCAGGCTGGGTCTGCAGAAAATGCATATCACTGCTGAGCTTGTGCTGAGCTGTATGTATACTTCCATATCCCGAGTACTTTGAACTACGGTCTCGGTCAAGTACGTAGTCCGCCCAGTTGAACGAGTCGTCGAGTCAGTCGTAAGAAGGTCGATATCACATCACGTTCTGGCATTCAAACACGGGAAGAAGCATCAACTTTTGGCAACGAAGGCTGTAATGTTTCATCTCAATCTTCAGTAAATCTGCCAGTCTTGCGTCGCCACCGGCTGCCCAATGTCGTGTGTGCCCCATGTCGCGCTGAGCCTTTACGTCCTCCCGGAATGCGTCCATGGACGCGGCAACTTGCAAAAGAATTCCAAAAGGTTCCAACTACTTTATTGATGCATCGCCGATAAGCCAGTTATCTTCGAGTTATCCGGCAAGGAGATTTTGATGCAGCACTGACGTTTGACGCATGCAACGTCAGTCTGCGTCAGTTGAATTTTGTGTCGGACTTGTACATGTTCAACAAGATTCCCAGTTCTCTCAACGTGAAGTATCCCACATGTACGACTGAGCTCTAATTCTGGTGTTCAGGATGCTTCAAGCCTATTACGCTACTAGTGTTGCATACAAGTAGTTACAACGGCGAACATGTATCTTGAACTTCAAGTTTGTGTTTGCAGGAGATGTAATTCGGGTTCAAACACCGTCAATTGGGTGGTAGTAACTCTGCACATGTGTTTCTGGATGATAATTGAAGGAAGTATACACAATAATACTACGTTCTGCGACGTTTGACGATGCACAGAGGAATCCCACACTATAACTAGGTATGACAGTGACACCTGCTGCGTCAAACGCCGATCCGCAGATAGTCAGTTGGAAAACGTCACAGCGCCGATCCAACGTCAGTGCAACGTCAAAGACTTTCACCTGAACTTGGTGGGAGCCTCGGTTCACAGTGTGCTGAGCGCAAATGGAAGAAATATATCATATTCCCCAGCGGGATCGACATGGTACCGTCAAGCAGGAGGGTGTCGGTGTCGGGGCGGTAAATCGTGTAGCATGAGCTGTGGAGGTTAGCAACCCCATCGGAAGAAAGAGATTGATCAGAGGAGAAGTTAAGGACGGTGAAACGCAAAGATGAGAGGAACGTCGGTACATCATGTCGCATGAGCTGTGGAGGTTAGCAACCCATCGAAAGAAATTTTGATCAGGACATGTCACTCAAATTCGGTTTTTCCGACATAAGAGACGGATCAGAGCAGAAGTAAAAGACGGCAGGAACGCAAAGATGAGAGGACCGTCAGTAGGGCGATGCAGTGAACGACGCGCACCACTCAATGAAAATTATGGAAAAGATGAGAGCACAAGGCTGGCGGATCGTCGAGAACGGGGGTACGAGGGCGTCAAGGAGACGACCCAGCTGTCTCGGGCTTAGAGGGGACGGATCGTGTATAGCGCTATATATACGTGCGAGAAGGTTAGCAAGCGGTCTCGTGGCGGGGGAGAAAAGGGAAGGAAGACAGGACGAGAGAGGACGAGTGGCGGTGAGGGTGCAAAGACGCGGGAGAAACAAGAGAGTATCCGGCCATACCGCGCGATATTCTCGCACCACTTTCACCTGTACCATCTCCATCTCAACGCTGAGGCTGGAGGGCGAATAAGCCCAGCGGCTGCGTGCACGAGCGTCAGTGTAACAGCTCTCGCCCTCGTTATTGCACATCTCTGCCCACACCAATTGAGGCTGCCTGACCACAAGATACAAATAAAAAGGTCAGGAAAACGTACCCAGTGGGGGGCGTCGTCCGAGGTCAGGCTGAGGAACGAATCGAGTGCCTGGGAGAAGGATGACGGATGTCTCATTTTCCCACTATCGCGATCGACGGCCGCGGCGGAGACGGATGTCAGACAGTCGCGGCGAAGAGGTGAGCGCGGACCCATTCGCCCCATCTCGGAAGATACGGCGACACACCCATCCGCGCGCCAGCTTGCAAGCGCGCGAGTGAGGCGGAGAGGAGTCGGCTCTTTGCCTGTCGCGCTGGTGCTTGCGTCCGCGGCGAGGAATCGGGAGATGCGTCGATTGCCGGTGCTGCTCCTGCTTCGCCTGTGGCGACGACAGATGAAGGAGTCGCCGCTGGCTAGTGCCAGAGCCACGGTCGATGGCCATGACTGCCTTGCTTAAGACGGCAAAGCTGCTGCTGATGCACCCAAAGAGTCGGCGAAAGAATACCGGTAAGTGGCGGGAAGCGGGGGAAAACGGAACGAAATGTATGAAGATCTCGGTACGATCTCGCTGGGCAGCGTCAAGACCGGGAATTTGTAGCATTGGAGGCGTTCCTGCACAAGCGTTTTCTCGGTTTTTAATGGGGCAAGGGAGCGCTCGAGATCGAGGATTTGCGTCTCGAGCTCTGCGACACTAATACGATTTCAAGGGCGCCGAGCATGAAGGGACTGGGGAAAGGCTCAGTATGGCGTAAGATTTCCAGTGGTGTACACACGAGTTTTCCATCTTTGCGCGTAGAGTAAAGGAAATACCGGGAAGAGGGAGAGGACGTCGGCGGAGGCGACCAGGACCGTTACGAGCACGCGCTTCTTCAGCAATAAAGTACATGTCGCCCACGGCGGACGCGCTGTCGGCTGGGCGTGCGCCGCACAGCCTCCCGCGACTCGAGAGTCTCAACACGCTGGCGCCGTACCTCGTGAACATGCTCGATGCCCCCGAGCCTGCGGCGTCCTGCGCTCACACAGACGTGAACGGTGGCGCCGGCGCAGCCACAGACGCATTCGATCCCTGCACGCGCTTCCCTCACCTCTCGCACATCGAGCTCCGCCCCCACATGCGCCTCCACGACACCCTCCTCCTCGCGAGCGCGCTCACCCTCTGGTCCCTCTCTCCCCGCGCATCTCATCACCGCTGCTTCACCGTGGCCGATATTCTCGCGCGCGCGCCGCCTCGCCCTCAACGAGAGCCGCGTAGCGCGCACCCCCCTCGCCTTTGGCCTTCCCTCCCTCATCGCCCAGGCGTTCCCCGCGCTGACGAAAGTGGAGGTGGACTACAGCTGGGGAGACAACGCCGACATATCCAAGAGGCAGGTAAGGGAAGGGCAGCGGGCGTTTGTGGAGCGGGTGAGAGCGGCGAATCCGAGGGCGCATAGGCAGGGCAGCACTGGGAGGACGAAAGCGTGCCGTCCAGGATATGAAGACAGACATTGACGGATGCGACAAGGTCATCCTACAAGGATGGCTCCTGTGAGGACAGGAGTAAGGGTGGCCGTGAGAGAGAAAGAAGATGGGGAAAACATACAGTGAACGCGTGTCCCCATTGCTCGAGTACGAAGACGGCTGCGAGCCTGTCACCTCGTCCGATCTCAGCGGTTCATGGACCGTGTAGGACGAGGGTGAAAGCCGACTGGAGTCCGCTCAAGTTCGGGATTGCAGCAAATGTCGACCCCACCCTGCGTTACTAATACACGTCTGCTTTGCGTTCCATCGCACTACCAAAACACGCGCCGGAGCCCCGCTTGACGTATAGCGCGAAGACAGTGGCCGCGTACTCTCAGAGCGTAGATGCGAGTTTGGGCGGCATCTGTACAGGGAAAACTGGGAATGAAACGACGGGGAAAGAAAACGGCAAGGAACGCGCACAACAGCTCCTTCCGCTCCAATTCCAATGCACCCATCGCGATCCCGACGCAGCAGTAGTACTGACGCGGTTCATGTCAAAATCACAGCGCGTTGCGAGTCCTGCCTCCGTTGCAATTTGCAACAAGATAGGTGTGCCACTGTGTAAGCCGACATGCGGGGGGCGGAGAATAGTGCTCACTGGAGGCCAACTTGAACCTGAAGAGGGTTGTATCGTCAGTGCTGGATGGAGAACGAGAAAGAGCCCGGTCAATTCAAGTTGCCAAATCAGGCCACTGCCTCCCTTCTCCGCTTGTCTCTGTCGCGTTCAATGTTCACCCTCATCTCGAGTCTTCTCTACCACTAGAGGACTAGCATTTATTAATCTCCCCTGGTAGCTAACACCGTGTCACTTGAAGTACTCTCAGATGTCGTCCGAATCGGCCGGGCCCTGGTTGAATTTTATTTGCCGTTGCTCCTCGCTCCCGCTCTCCTGATTTCGAAGCTTGACTACTCCCTCCATCTTTACTCTTCTAGCTCCGAGTCGCTCGTCATACCGTCCTATTTTCTGCTATCCAACGACTGCCCTGACCGCACAACTCCAACTCCGCATTTATCAAACCTGACGACGAATGCTGCATAGATAGTGATAGTCCTCTTCAGGTTAGAGGCATCGCGCCATTGTAGATCAATGGTAGATCGTCTCACAATTATAATGGTTCTTGTGAAGATGGGGGGTTCGAGTCCTGCCGGTGGCATCGGTTCTCGAACGAACAGTTTTTTTTTTTTTCTTTTTTTTTTTTTTCCCTTTTTTGTTCTGCTAATTTTGGCGGTTTCTCGCTCCCACCTGATCCTCCCTCTAAGTACCCACTGCAGATCCAACTCAATCATCGCAACTCTAGTTTCGCTTCAATGGAATTTCCGTCATCCTATGATATATCCCCGTGCTCTTTTTCTTCCACTTAGCCCGAACCTTCGTCTGCGTCGAAAGCTTTTGTACTCAACCTAACTGCCCATTCAATCCTTTCTATTCCTTTCAACTATGTGTTATCATTTCCCTAGATTTACTCTGCCTCGACTTCTTGCTTGCCATAAGGTGTTTTCTCAGAAGGGCGGTACTACCAGTATGCAAAATCAAGCCTCCATCATGATAGATCAACGGTTGATCGCTTCAATGCAATCACCCATTGGAATTGCTCTCTTGAGGAGATGTGGGTTCAACTCCCACTGGAGGCATGAATAGGTTGAGGTGGTGTTTTTTCCTGCTGCTGAGGGCATGCTTCAAGTTCAAACCCCTCCATATCAGAGCTAGTTCAACTTTCTTTGCGTTTCTCTTGACAACTTCCAGGTAACAGCATCGGGGTCCCAATGTGCAGGAGCTCGAATTAAATCCCTTCTCAGAATCAGTTACCGGTGGCTTTGAATCGAATTGTTGTACTAGTCAGGCTTTTCAAGACAAAGCTTGGATAAAGTCTCCGCAGATCAGCGGTAGATCATCTCGTGGTTTGGGAAACTGCGCTCAATCTATGGAGAAGCAGTGGGTTCGATTCCCACCAGAGGCATGGATATTGGATTTTATTCCTTTTTTTGCTTCTTTTCTTTCATTCTTTCATTGCTTCTCCTCTCTCGCGCCACCATCTCTCGTCTCAGGCTAGCTCGCCAAGTGACTACTTCAATTTCGTTGCGTCTCTCCTTCAACTCTTTAAATTCCGGAATTTAAAGAGTCCTACGTCGATTTCAACCTATCATAGATTGAATATCTTGTTGCCCATCAAAATCTGCACATTTCGTTTGGAACTGACATAAATGAGTCTCCCGCAACCATAAAAGACAGGCATCACCGAGGGTTTGGTGCGGATACATTCAACAGGCATCAATGTACGTGGAAAGATGTGGAGCAAGGACGCCATCCCTAATTTGCACGTGAACTGAAAGATGGTTGGACATCAACAACTATCAACAACACGACTCTTGTCCTTCCCCTCCACCTCGCCTCCGCCTGCCTGGCTGCCTTGTCATCGTCTCGGTTCTCTGCAATGATCTAGGCATACCAACACATCACGGTACTCTGGTCCCCGACTCCTTGAATTGCGCACGTCATATGACGGGTCGAGATGTGGGGAAAGAGGCTCAGCGAGAAGCTCTGTATTTTTGGTGTGTCACTATCCTCTCCTCTTCGATGACTGCTAATTCGTCTCTGCCTTTCTTTGCTGCCTTTATCTTCCCCATCTCTTGAGTGCTTGGCATCCACACAGGACTCGCCGAGTTAGAGATAATAGTCGGACTTGGGCCCATTGAATGGTCACTACTACGTACCTCTTGGCCATCTTCGTAATCCTGACTAACACGGGCACGCCAAGAAGACTAGGGTATGGCATGTAGATTCAGAATGTCGGGTGCGTCCTCGAATCTAGTATCTGTGATCATAAATTGACTGGGACCGCCAATGTCTCCATCCACCTTGCGCAACGTATCTCCAACCATCATCCAACGTCCTCTCGTCGTGCGTCGCACGCGCAGCTCAATGAGCGGAACGACATTTACATGGGAGATGACGAAAATGAGTACCGCCTTTACCTTATGTGTAGGAGGATGAAAGACTGATGCGGGTGCGTCTTCGGCTTGGCATGCAGCCTGTACGAGTAGCCCGATGCTCATCGCGATGCAGCCTTACACAACTTGCTCTGTGGGTACAAGGTACGCTTCCTGCCCCCAGATATTGCTTTTATTTTATTTTTTGCAGGACACGATGGTGGCACGTCGAATATATGTACCGAATTCATGCAAGCTGTCATCGGTGAGTTCCGCCGTGGGGACGCGCTTGCTGAGGTGGATAACCCCGTTCGTGTTTATCCACCTTCCACTCCTGCATCACCCTGTTTACTCGCGCAACCCAGACTCAATTCGGGGTGACCAAAAATGGCATAGCCGAGCCCGAGGTTCGTCCCAGTCTTTTCTCTATATCATTCCCTTTCCGATACATATTTACGCATGCACGCAGAGCCTGGACGGTCACCTACACCCGCATGGTGCGTTCGTGTACTCCTCCGCGAACTCGCACAAGTTTGGACGGTGATGTGGCAATGAACAGGATGAAGGGGTGGTCGGCGTAGCTGTACATTAATGTTTTATTTATATGAATCATTATATCTTTTCATCCTTTTCATCCAAAGTCCAGATGAGATTCAGCAGTGCATAGGATGAAACCAGCTGGCTCAAATTATATTAAGGTAGGTTGATATTCAGTCGGAAAAGCTGACGGGACGATAGGATGATTTTGACCGTTTTAGCGGTGTTTTCATCCTATCGCGAGCAACCTACTGGCTACCGATTTTCATCCTACGGTCGATGAAAATCAACCTATGCCCGGCTGAATGCCATCTTAAGATCGGTTAAAGCCTAGGTTGAATTTCATGCGGTACGGCCGCCATAGAGTCCGAGTCCGAAATAGTATCAGCGGTATCGGAATTCAGATCTATGCCAACTCAACCCAATTCCGATCCTGAGAGGCTAGAAGGAAGGCATCAGCCTCCGTTGATCGGCGGGAAGATCATCCATCTCTGGTCTTTGGTTCGATGGTTGTCTGATACTCGGAGAAGCCGTGGGCTCGATTCCCACCGGAGGTACGGTTGGAGATCAAAAAGTTCTTGTGTTTACCCACGACCTGACTCGGGCCGAGGATGTCCTTTTTTTAATTTGTGTCTACAATCCTCGGATATGAGCAGCTGCGAGTCTCAATTTTCTCTTGGGCCAGATCGCGTTATTTCGGTCTGCTTCACAAATTTTTAAACGAAAATATCCCACACGGCTTGAATGTCAGACAAGCTTCAAGAGTCGATGAAGCTACGCAAATCGCAGGTGTTTGAACCGTAGGAACGTCAACAAGCAACGAGCTACATGAATTGTGGAAAGTTTTTCGGATCTTTTACACATTCGCATCCATCGTAGATTGAGTTCCGGCTGAATCCTGGCATAATTTGCTCAGCTCGCGACGCTTTTGGAGAGCAAAGTGAAGATAGACACATACACTGGTGAATCGAAGAGAAACTGCGCAACTCAGGCTGCTCTCCTCCCACCCGTTTGTTGACTGTGCTACAGTGATATTTGAATTGAATTGAAATGTAGAGTTTTGCTCAAATTAGTGCCGAATAACGCAGAGCGTAGAGGGTTCTTCGTAGGATTGCAGGATTGCTTCTAAATGATGGTCGAGAGAGAGAAAAAAACATCCTCGACGCTGTTTACACTCTGTTGCATTCAGAGACAACACAATTCTGCAAATAAAATTACAACTACGATGTCAAAACGATGTTCAGTTCCAGGCCCTGCTCGACGAGGTCCTCCATCCAATTGAGTGGAATCTGGGCGAAAGAGGATGCTCCAATCGTGACTTTCTTCAACCGCGCCACATCCACAGCTGCTGAAGTGTCATCTGTCCACCACCGCGACCTAATAGCGCCCTCCAAGGCGCCGGGATCGAAGGGGATGTGGTTGCTGATCCACTCCAATCTTAGCTCCTGGAGGTGCAGTGTGAGCTGTTCATTATGTGTTTTGTCGTAGTTAAACAAATGGAGGAATTCAATGTCGATGCAGTTGAGACAATGAATGAGAGTGAGGGTCATGAGGGCTGGCGTGAGCCGAAGGAGGGTGATTAGCTCTCTGGAGGTGATGGGACAACACTCCAAATGGATTTGCGCGATGTTCGGAGCCCGCATCTGGAAGTCGGAAAATTCTTGGGCGGGCCAGACGATGCTGTCGAACGTAAGCCGCAAGGAATGCAGGGCGGAAAGGATTAAAGGTGTGAAGAACGGCCCCACACGGCCCAACTCCTCGTGGCCTTCGTCAAACTGCATTTCGAGTCTCTTCAGGCAAGGAAGCGCAGTAGCTGGTGCATCGGTAATTGAGGTATCCCATCCTTTTGTACTCAGCGTCGCCGAAACGAGGTTCCGGCACTGGAGAAAGACGGCACGACAAGTAGGTGGCACCCATTCCACGAGATTGAGGTGCGTAAGTTGGTCCCACGGCAGCCGGAACAAATCACTGCACGACCTCGAGTTGGCGCGGGGCATCATGGTTAGGTGGCGAAGGTGGGGACAGTCCCAAAATAAGTCTATTGGGGCGGTATTCGAATCGGTTCTGTATTCAAGACGGAGGCCTTGGAGAGCAGTAAATGAGCCGAGAGAAGTCTCTTTGAAAGCCTCCAACGAATCATCAGCCACGTTGAGAAACTTCCACCTCGAAGTCGTGGGCGCTATGATATGAAGGATGGCTGCTATCGGGAGAGCGCGTAAATTAAAACTGGTCCAGGTTTGTCTGTACGTGAGGGAAACTGAAATTGGGAGTGGAGACGACCGGTCGAGCAACGTCTGCAGGCCATCAAGATAGATCTTTTCGTCGTTTTGCCTGTTCAGCCTGACATCGATCAACCCCATGGCCCACAGCTTCGACGAGCCGATGGCTATCTCGCGCCAAGCGGAACATACGTGTGAAAGGAGGATAGTTTGGCGGTGGGGAAGGAATGGAGGGGTTTTATGGCCCACGAAGTTGGTCCTCAGCTCCGCTGAATCGGATTCAGGCTCTACTGCGAGTGAAAAGATCTCCACCAACAGCTCCGTCGGAAGCTTCCCCACAGGCACGATCATGAAATATAATCGCGCAAGGGTACGCCGTTCCTTCTGGCGTGTTTGAACGAGCTCATCGATTTGAGTGCTGAGGCGGCATATGTTGGCCTCGGTCGCGCGAATTTGAGCCGTGACTTCCT